ATTGAGGGGGTCACACGGGGACACTGGGGGGTCACAGCGGGACATTGGGGCATTGTGGGGAGCGGGGTCAGAGGGACATTGGGGGAGGGGTCACAGTGGGGACATTGGGACATTTGGGGTCACAGTGGGGACATTGGGGGAGCGGGGTCAGAGGGACATTGGGGGAGGGGTCACAGAGGGGATATTGGGGGGCAGCGGGGTCACAGCGGGGACATTTGGGGGTCACAGAGAGGGGAATTGGGGGGGGGTCACACAGGGACATTTTGGGGAGTGGTCACAGGGGGGAACATTGGGAAATTTGAGGTCACATGGGGGGGATTTGGAGCGGGGTCACAGTGGGGACATTTGGGTATGGGGGGGCTTCGGGCATTCAAGGGAGCGGGAAGGACACAGGATCTGAGGAGGGGGGAGTGGGACCCCCCACCTGCACGGGGCGCTCTGCAGGTGCCACACCTGTCCTGTGGGGTCACACCTGTCCGTATGGGTTCACACCTGTCCTGTGGGGTCACACGTGTCCCTGTGGGGTCACACCTGTCCCTACGGGTTCACACCTGTCCTGTGGGGTCACACCTGTCCCTATGGGGTCACACCTGTCCCTATGGGGGTCACACCTGTTCTGTGGGGTTATACCTGTCCCTATGGGGTCACACCTGTTCTGTGGGGTCACACCTGTCCCTATGGGGTCACACCTGTCCCTATGGGGGTCACACCTATTCTGTGGGGTCATACCTGTCCCTATGGGGATCGGGCGCCCCCTATCGGTTTCCCACGTTCCCCACATCGGTGTCCCCTATGGGGTCACACACGAGTCCCCCTAGGGGTCACTGTCCTACGTGGGATCACATGTCCCTGTACGGGCCACATACCTGTCCCTGCAGGTGTCACACATCCCTGCAGGTGTCACACACATCCCTGCAGGTGTCACACCTGTCCCTGCAGGTGTCACACCTCTTGACCCCCCCGGGCACACCCCTCACCTCCCAGCCGCCCCCACCTCCCCGGGCAGCCCCTTCCCAATCCCACCCACTCCAAGAGTCAAACACTTCGTGATCTCTAATCCCGCTCTCCCTGGCTCTGGCTCGTGACAGGGCAGGAGGGACCAGGACCAGCCCCACCTCAGTGCCAGGTCCTGTCAGGGGCAGGAGAGGGACAGGGACAGGAGAGCCATGGGGTCCCCCCAGCCCCCTCCTCTGCAGACTGAACACCCCCAGCTCCCTCACCAGACATTTTCCAGACCTTTCCTGAGCCTTGCTCCCGTCTCTGGACACGCTCCAGCTCCTCCAAGTCCTCTGAAATGAGGAACTGGACACGGCCCAGAACAGGGGACAGGCACGGCCCTGGTCCTGCTGGTCCCTCTCCAGCCCAGGTGACACTGCCCAGGTGGGCACAGCTGGGATCATGTCCAGCCCTGTCCCCAGCAGCTCTCTGACTTCTCCTCCTCCAGCCTGGAGCATCCACAGGAAAGCTGTGATACAGGTGCAGGACCCAGCCCTTGGCCTTGGTGACCCCCACCCTGCTGGGTGATCCCCACTCTGCTGGGTGACCCCACCCTGCTGTTTCCATCCAGCCATGGATCCAGCCTGTCCTGGTCCCTCTGCAGGGCCTCCCCACCCTGCAGCAGATCCACACCCAGCTCAGGGTCACCTGGGCACCCCCTCATCCAGGTCACCAGTAAAGCCGTGGAACAGCAGCAGCCCCAGCAGTGACCCTGGGGACCCCCACTGCTCCCGGCCCCACCCGGCTTTGGTTCCATTCCCCACCAGTCCCTGGGCCAGCAGCCAGGATTGTCCCCATGGAGGAGCCACCCCCATCCCACAGTCAGACATTTCTGCACGAAGTGCTGCGGGACACGGGGCCAGAACCTTCCTGAGTGCAGGGACACATCCAGAACCTTCCTGAAGGGCAGGGAAACACATCCAGAACCTTCCTGAGTGCAGGGACACATCCAGA